ATACAGGTACCTATGAGAGCAGCTCTTTAGTTGCAGAGGAGGGCAGTTCAGGAACGAATATTTATGTGTTTATCATGTATCAGGAACTGAAATGGGCCCCTGAACAGAACAAATCCTTTCCCCTGAGCAGCACCCTGAGAGCAGGGCTGGAGTTAATTAGTCAAGGAGTTTTTGTGTGTGGCTGCCATTGTATGAGGAGAACACTAGATGGGCCCATAGTCTAGAAGACTAATTACAAAAAGTGGGTAAGTGCCAAGCCCATCACAGTAGGGGCTTTTATAAACATTCCCTTTTTTCAACTTTGGGGCCTCTTAATTTCCCCAGGTCCTCAGAATTACACAACCCCACAGGGGTTACTGGGCTGCCCCCAGGTGTTAGGGCTGATCACAATGCTACATTTTTTTGTGGGGGGACAGAGTCTCACTCTGTCACCCAGGCTGGAGTGCAGTGGCACGATCTCAGCTCACTGCAACCTCCACCTCCTGGGTTCAAGCGATTCTCCTGCCTCAGCCTCCCCAGAAGCTGGGATTACAGGCACCTGTCATCATGCCCAGCTAATTTTTATATTTTTGTAGAGATGGGGTTTCACCATGCTGGCCATGCTGGTCTTGAACTCCTCCTGACTTTAGGTGATTCACCCACCTTGGCTTCCCAAAGTGCTGGGATTACAGGTGTGAGCCACCACGCCCAGCTGACAATGCTACATTTTGGGAGGCAAAGTCTGCAGTTAGCCGAGATTATGCCACTGCACTCCAGCCTGGGTGACAGAGACTCCATCTCAAAAAAAAAAATTTCCTTTTTCTTTTTTCTGGGGTTCCCAAGAAGGGATATCCGAGTATCCTCAGGCAAGTCATTTAGCCTCCCTGGGTTTCTGTTTTCCAGTCTACAAAATAGGGGTGCTACCAGTTTTCCTTTGGCAAGGCTAAATAAGATAACTTACAGAACTGTGGTAAATTCTGCTGTACAGTCCAAAACAAAAAAACAGAGAACTGTGGTCAAGAGCATAACCTTTAAGGTCAAAGAGGACTGGATTAAAATCCCAGCTCTGGGCTGGGTATGGTGGTTCAAATATGTAATCCCAGCACTTTGAGAGGCAGAAGTAGAGAAATTGCTTGAGCCCAGGAGATCAAGACCAGCCTGGGCAAGATGGCGAAACCCTTGTCTCTACAAAAAATACAAAAAGTAGCTGGACTACATGCCTGTAGTCCCAGCTATTTGGGAGGTGGAGGTGGTAAGATCATCTGATCCTAGGGAGGTTCAGGGCTGCCATGAGCTGAGATCATACCACTGCACTCCAGCCTGGGTGACAAAATGAGACCCTGTCTCTCAAAAAAAAAAAAAAAAAAAAAAAAATGGAGACAGTAGTCATTTCAGCCCTCCAGAGGAGATAGATGGGAAATCACATCAAAAAACAGCAGAGTTAGTTATGCCAGCAGGAGAGCTCACATAAAGCAGGCAGCAGGGTAAGCTCTCAGCTAGGCCCTTTCCCTCCCTGGGTTGAGCGACGCACCTTTACAAACCAGACAGGCACAAAGGCCACATAGTAGGCACTCAGCATGGAGCTGACGAGCACTTCCTTCATGCGCCAATTGAAGTCCATCTTGAGGAACTCCACCTCGCTGCGGATGAGGCTGGGTGACAGGCAGCAGGCATGGGTGGGCATGGCGTCTGGGCCATACAGCTGTCTTGTGTGCTGCTTCCACGTCTCCCGAAGCGTCAGCAGGTAGTCCCGGCTCCTCGCCAGGCCACTGACCGCCTCCCGGGGTCCCATGGAGGCCATGTGGTTGAAGAGGCTTGTCTTGCGGAGGTCACAATTTAGCTGCAGGAACGGAATGTACATCCCAAACCTGCTGGGGAAGACGGTGGTGAGGGAAGGCCTGCCCATTGGCCAGGATCCCTACTCTCGGCCACTCAGGGGATCTTCTTTCCTCCCTGGGCCTCAGCTCTCGTGGCTGCCCAGAGGGGAGAATTTACCCATCCTTCCATCCATCTGGGCAGTCACTGAGCACATGTATTACCACTCAGTATGTGCCAAGCACTGGGGTTATAGCAGAAATTCTGAGCATGGGGATACAGTAGGAAGCGAGACAAGTCCCTGACCTCGAAGTCTAGGAATGACTCACAACAGCAACAGCCCACATTCACTGGGCACGGCCTATGTTCCAGGCACTGTACTGAATGCTTTCAGGGAAACTCTTTTTTCTCATAAGAACACTACGCGTTAGTTAATGTTATTTTCTTCCCTTTTCAGCTGAGGAAGCCATGGCTCAGAAAGGTGAAGTAAATTCCCAAAGCTTACCCAGTTAGTAAGGAAGTGAAAGGGTGGGTGGGTGGGGGGCTCAAAATCAGAAGTGTTTGGTATCAAAGACCAAGGCACATATTCAACAAATCATTATGAGTAATTAATTAAAAGTGTATACAGTGGACAAGCACAGTAGCTCACGTCTGTAATACCAGCACTTTGGGGAGGCTGCAGTGGGAAGATCACATGAGCCCAACAGTTCAAGACCAGCGTGGGCAACATAATGAGACCCCATCTCTACAAAACAGATTAAAAATTAGGCAGGTGTGGTGGTGGTATATACTTGTAGTCCCAGCTGCTCAGGCTAAGTGGGAGGATCACCCGAGCCTAGGGGTTGGGGCTGCAGTGACCCGTGATTGTGCCACTGCACTCCAGCCTGGGGGGCAGAGTAAGACTCTGTCTCCAAAAAGAAAAAACAAACAAAGAAAAAAAAAA